GCGGTGCCGCACGGGCCGGGGCTGGGGACATGCGTGCCGTGGCAGTGCCTCACATGCTGGGGTTGGGGTGCCGTGGCAGTTGCCTAGTGCGGTGGGGCTGCGGTGCGGCCGGGCAGGTTGCAGCGGTAGTGGAAGATCCGGAAGCAGAGGAGGCTGCCGAGCAGCGAGGGGCTGAAGGCACCCACCTTCCTGAAGCCCTGGCCCTCGTAGAGCCGCTGGGCCGCCACCTGCACCATGGAGGTGGAGAGGACCACCGCCCCGTACCCCCGCGCCTGCGCAAAGCGCAGCACCTCCCCACAGAGCGCTTTGGAGATGCCCCGGCCCCGGTAGTCCTTGCTGACCGACATTCGCTTCAGCTCCAGGGCCACCCCTCTCTCGGACGGATCCTGCGGTGGTGCCACGGCCACCATGCCCACCACGGACCCCCCGGCCTCCGCCACCCAGAAGCAGGAGTCGGGCGCCCGCAGGTAGCTGGCGGGGATGTCACAGAGGTCGGTGCTCAGCGCCTGGCGCACGTAGGAGGTGCTGAAGGAGCGGACCAGGAGCCAAGTGGCCACCAGCGCCAGCGCCACGGCCCCCAGCCCCAGCACCCAGTAGCCGGCAGCTGCCCGCACTGCTGCAAAGAGGACCAGCAGCCCCAGCTGCGCCCACGCCAAGCGCAGGACGTGGCGGTAGCCGGCTGGCACGTGCTCCAAGATGCCGCGGGCGAAGAGGGTCCGCACAGCGTCGTAGTCCTGGTCCTGGTACTGCCGGATGCGGTAGGATGCCATGGGCTGCCGGCACCTGCGGCACGGCACGGGGGTGTCAGGGCAGTGCCTGCCTCGGATGGGGACCCCCGGAGCATCCCCAGACCCCATCGCCGGGACGGCACAGCCGGGGAACGGGCAGGAATCGCTGTCCGAGCACGGTGCAGCCGCGTTAGCTCCCGTCGGCTGGGCACCAGCCTGCGCTTTGCATTGCCCCGCCGGTGTAATTACCCTCCTCTCGCTAAAAGTCAGCATCACCAGCTTTGCCTAGGGTGGGCATTCTGGGAATCCCATCCCCTCGGCCCCTTGCGGGGTTCCTGCCCTGACACCCCCCCACCTCCTCCTCTCACACCCCTCTTTCCCCTTGGGGATCCCGTGAACCCCTCCAAGCATCACCCCTCTCATCCCGTTTCTCCCTGCTTCCCCCAGGGCTGGAGCAGCAGCCGTGCTGGGGGCCGGTCCCACACGGGGGTCCCTGTGAAGGCAGGGGCGAAGCGGGCTGGGGGCTCCCGTCTTCTCCCTTGATGGGGCCTCAGAGATTCATCCCACCCGCCCCAGGCTGCAGGGAGCAGGTTCGGGCTGGGATGCCCAGGAGTGGGGAGCAGAGCCTGGGGGGGGGGAACGAAGGGAAGATCAGGAGGATCTGGGGGTGCCTGTCCCCCCCCAGGTCCCTGAACAGCCCCAGCACCCTGGTACTCACTGGCAGCAGCGTCGGCTCCCCAGGAGTCGTGGCACAACGAAACCCGGGTAGAGGCGGGCAGCTGCCTGGCTGCCCGTCCTTTGCCCCGTGGTGCCGTGGCGGGAGCAGGGCAAAGGGACATGGTGAGGGGGGGGAGTGATGGGCACAGAAACCCTCGGGGGCTGCTTGGGACATGCAGTGGGCTTGCGCTCCTGCTTGTGAGGGGTGCTGAGCCACCCTGGGCACGGGGACCCTGAGTGGGGATGGCTCTCCCTGCCCCGGGGAAGGGACTGGGGACCCCAAGCTGCCGAAAACCCCGCAGGGGTCTGCACTGGCCTCGTTACTGGGGGCTAAGGGGGAGCATGGCCTCAGCCCCCC